TCGTTATCAGTTCCAGTTACCCACTTGAACTGACCTAACAGCCTGATTTGTACCTTCATGATCATTTGATGCCCTTTAGGTATGGTGAGGATACAAACATTCGTATGCGAATCAGTCAGAACTGACCGAATATCAAAAAGCATCGCTGCCATCTGTTACCCTCACACCGTAGGCTCTAATTTTCTAACCAAATCAGTATTTATCAGAAAATTATGGAACAAATGTTCTATTGTTTGAGCAAGTTCTAAAATAGTTTCAGTGGAGATGGATTTGGGTTTGGTCTCTCGAAATGTTTGGTTAGGGACTGATCGATTCGTCGTGAACAGTCTATTGATTGTTTGGAGTTCAGTGGGGGCTACTTCTTATTATTTTCTTTTTCTCTTTCTCTTATTTGATGATCTACAGCTGTTATGTTCATATTATCATAATAGTTTAAGATAATCACTGTTAGGAGCACTTTTCTTCCTCCCGTTGGTTGCAACCAACTCAGCACTGTGATTAAAGGAAGCCTGTTATTATTAGCGAATCTCTAAGCCGCTACTGATAATGTGAGCTCCGTAGTTGACTCCTAAGCAGGCCCACTAACTTAAAACAAAAATGGATTATTCATCGATTTTTAATTGTTCCTCTTTTTATATCTTCACTTTTTAGCATTAAGGGCATACTGTGATATGCCACTGTAGGTCTGATCAACACAAAACACTATTATGTTCCTCATTCGGCATCCAACCCAAGTATTGATCCAAGTGCCCTCTGATAGTATTCACTGACTCCGTTCACCATTTTCACTCTGCGCGAATTCCAGAGATTTTTCGCTCTTCGAGACAGTTGATAGACCTAAAGCAGAGTGACCGGCTTGGAGTTTTTCAAAGAGTGAAAGAGAGAGTGTCATCGAGTTCTGAGCTCTGTACGCAAAAAAGAATTCGGGCCAGAGCCACGGACTACTGACACTCTTCAGGATATTATTCATAGTATAAAATTATCCTCTCAGATACTCAACGATGCGCAAATGAAAACAATCTGCCGGTCTGTAGTAAAACTGCTGACCTTATCCCAAGCAGATAGAAAACTACTCGAATGGTAATATATCGTAGCCACTGCAATTCGGCAAACCCAATCATCCTGCAGATGAAACGCTCTGTACCGCCGTACTCTATTCTTGACCTGAAATCACCACTTGTTATTCGACTAATGATCCGACAATGGTTCATGCTAAGACGCTTTTGGTGTTGTTACATATTTGTCTTAAGGATGGCGCTAGAACTCTTGGGCATTTATCACACAATATTCTGTATAAAGCGTTTCCTTACTGTCTGATGACAATTTCATCGTCAGTAGATCCTGTATATGCAGAAAGACACATTCGAAAGTGTTAATCGAAAGAACCCAAACGTCCGCTCACTTAGCCAGTAGGTTCATGTCCTAGCTAAAGCCTTGCATTCTAGAGAAGTCCCTAACCGTGCGAGTTACTGTTACGTCAGATCAGGTCAGGTCAGGTTGCACAGGACAAGAGATGGCCACGGCCAATCGAGTGTCGAATTTCTTCGGTAGTAAGCCATGTGTTGTCCTCTACCAGTGCTAGTGTTCTATGTGGTTTTTCACGTTTTCTGCTCGTCCCAGTCGTTTCCGCCTCTGCAAGTGAAGAGCAAGAAAATAAAAATATCTTCTCCTTTGTTCAGGTGAGATACCTCACATTTGGAAGCGTTCTTTTGTTGGGGTATAGTAAACGAAAAAACCCTAAATTAATTTCAGGCCTAATCCTAATCTAGCTTGAGAAATAAGTCCAGCCAGCGCCTATCGAGTTCTTTCTTGAAAGCATTTATGCTCCCTAGCTCCACCAGCTCCTGTGGTAACTTATTCCATGATTTTACTACCCTGTTGCTGAAGAAGTTTGAGCACACTGCTAGTCTCGTGCGCAATTTCTTCAGTTTATACCTGTGCCCCCTAGTGTTTGTTGCCTTGCAATCTCTCAAAGAATACTGTCTGATCAGTCCCTAATAAGCCATTCAAAATTTTGAAAATCTCTATCCAGTCGTCTCGGAGTTTTCTTCTTTCCAAGGAGAAGAGTCCGAGATCTTGCAGTATTGCTTCCCTCGCTGCCCTTCGATCATCTTGGTGGTTAATCGTTCGACCTCCTCGAGACTAGCGCCGTCTTTTTTGAAGAAGGGAGCCCAGGCTTGTATACAATACTCTAAAAGCGGTCGAACAATCGCCTTCTATAGGGGTACGAATACCTCCGGTTTCCTACGTGTTAGTGCAGACTGCAGTCTTGAAAGCTCTCTACGGGTGCGATGCGCCGCTGTGGCACACTGTTTTGCCCGTTTGTAGTCCTCTGTAACTATTATTCCTAAATCTATAGCCTTCTGCGTCGTTCCCAGTGAAAGACCACTGTGACTACTCCCCATGGCCAGCCCCTTTTCTCGAGTGATCTAGATATGGCTCTTTCCTATGTTTAAAGGCAAATCCCATGTACCTGACCACTTGAGCACTTCACCTATATCCCGTCCTAGTTCTGCTCTCCTGTCTGATCCAACAACCTTGATGTCGTCCACAAATATAAGGCTGGGCGAGACAAGGCGCTTAGGAAGGACATTAATGTAGAGTAAGAACAGGAGTGGGCCTAGGATTGACCCTCAAGGGCACCCCACTAGTAATAATTTTCACTGGTGAGCTCGCTTCTCCGACCCAAACCTGAAAGCACCTGTCAGAGAGGAAAGCTGTTGGTCGCTTGTGGATGTTCCCCCTTATCCCTAGAGTATCTATCTTGGCCAAACGTAAGCGATGACACACTGAGTCAAAAGCTTTGCTAAAGTCCAGCTAGCATACTTCCACTTCCCTACCCTCGTCTAGTCACGCTGTGACTGCATCTAAGAAATGCAACAGACTGTTGAGACACGATTTTTCTTTCAGGAACCCGTAATGTGCTGCAATCAGCAGGCGGTGCTGGATGAGATATTCGCCTAAGTGGGTTCGGATGATTCTCTTAAGATCTTGCGCAAGATGCTCGTGAGAATTACAGGACGATAATTCTCCACTTTTGTCTCGGTTGTCTCTTGTGTATGGTGACCACAGTTGCAGTTTTCCAATCCTGTGCTATTCTGCCCTGCTCTAGAGTTTTGTTGTGCAGGTTGCAGAGTGGCCACCTAGAACCTCGGTTATGTGTTTGTGGTGGATGCCATCTGGTCCGGCGGATTAGGTGGCATTAAGCTCACTAAGAGTACCACGCACCGGCTCTAACCCCACCTGTTATTCGGGGATACCCGGTTCAGCGGTGTGGAGATCAGTTTGCGTAGTAATGAAATGATTCATTCTATGTACGCTTTTGAAATACTCCTTAAATCGCACTACTGTATCCAACTCATGGGTTATTACTTCTCCACCCTCCAGTATTAGAGGCCCTACCACTTCACTAAGCTCTCCCTCAGATTGGACATAGAGGTAGTAACTTTTGGGCTGGTATTTTGCACAATTTGCTAGCTTGAGCTCGTATTGTCGTTTGAGCTGCCGTTGAACTGCCACTGCTTTGTTTCCCTCCCTGGTGTACTGCACCCAGGATCTGTGACTGCCTATTGATATATAGGTGTGCCATCTCCTATATCTACGCTGTATCACTCTCCTTATCGCTGGGCTCCACCAAGGTGGGTTGTTCTTCGCTGTCATGGGTTTCAGTGGAGCAAATTCCTCTTGCAGGAGCAAAATATTTATCTTGATAATGCCCCAGTGCTGGTCTGTCGTTGCGTTTTCCAGACTAGGGAACCACTCCAGCTCCGCAGCTCGAGCTTCAGGCCTCATTGCATTACTCACCTAGTTGCTCCTGGACATCCTAATTTGCTTTTACGGTGCATTAGATGGAGTTCTGTAGTGATAACTTCATGGTCGCTTTTACTTAGCGGTGAATGGAGAGTAATACTAATCAAATCCCTCTCCTTCGTCAAAATTATCTGTTCCAAAAAGGACGGCCTATCTCTCTCTCTCTCTCTCTCTCTCTCTCTCTCTCTCTATATA